GTAGCGGCATCATGGTGATGTTCCTCATTGTTCTCCATTAAAACAAGGAGCTGACTGAAGCAGCTGCTCGTCATCGATTCATTCAGGGCAGAAGAAGAGTCACGTGACGCCTTAACGCCTCCTTTAATGAGAACAGAGTCTGAAGCAGGAAGCTGGACCTCCTTCATGATACCTGTGGTCTCTGCTGGAGCTTTAGTTCATGTGGAGCCACTACACAGAGAAAGTCTGGATCTGTTGGACTGGCTTTGTGGTTCAACCCTCTGACAGAGAACAAAAGAAAACGCAGGACTTTATATACAAGGAACAAAATAGGAGACAAGACGCAGGTGAAACAGATCAGGCCAATCAGAAGGAAGGAAAACACACAGAGGCAGGAAGTAAAGAGGAGAGACATGCCAGGACAGGGAATGTCAAAATAAAACAGGAACTAAACAGCACAAAGTCCAAGACCAGGACCAAACATGTTGTATTTCACAAGTAATGTTTAAAAGTACATTTTCTTTCTTAGTTAAGGTCGAAACTGTTGTGAGGAAGATAAGTTTAGTCAAAACGTTGTGATGTATTCACATGATAACTATTCAGACTCAGATTAATTTAAAAAGCTTGATTAGTCTCTGAGGTCTATTAAAGGTCATCAGGTTCATTCTCCAGTTTTATTTTTCACCTGATTACACAAACACACACCCGGTTCAGACTCACAGGCAGTGAATCACAGACGGACTCTGTTCTCAGAACCTCACTGTTTTATTGGAACAGAGCCGGAGAGAGTCCACAGCCTCCACTGCCGCCCTCAGAGCTCCACCTCCATCTCCTGCTCCTGGGGGCCTCCAGAGGCCGACTACGACTCCTTCACCATCGAGTGCCTCCACCAGGACTCTCAGACCCTCGTCTACTCTCGACGCACCAACCGAGATTCCACCAGTTACGTCATTACCCAGCTGGAGCCCCACAAACGCTACACCGTCTCTGTGAAGGTGATCTCCGACAGGACGACCAGCGAGGAGGCGACTGACAGCACAGTCACCATGATCGACCGTAAGGAGGGTGGAGGCTGAGGGTGGAGGTTAACCTGATCGACTGTAGGGAGGGTGGATGTTGAAGGTGGCGTTTGAGGGTGGAAGCAGAGGCCGGAGGTTGTAAGTGGATGTTGAGAGTGAAGGTGGAAGTTGAGGGTGAAGGTTAAGGGTGGAGGTTCAAGGTAGAGGTTGAAAATGGAGGTTGAAGGTGGAGTTTGAGGGTTGAAGATTTATTGATTTTTATTTAAAAGGATCCCCATTAGCTGACGCCAAGACATCAGGTCGTCCACCTGGGGTCCAGGTTGAAGGGTGGAGCTTGAGGGTTGAAGGTGGAGGTTGAAGGTAAAGGTTGAAGGTGGAGGTTGAAGGTTGAGGGTTGAGGTTAATGGTGGAGGTTAAAGGTGGAGGTTAAAGGTGGAGGTTGAAGGTGGAGGTTGAAGGTTGAGGGTTGAGGTTAATGGTGGAGGTTAAAGGTGGAGGTTGAGGGTTGAAGGTTGAGGGTGTAGGTTGAAGGTGGAGGTTGCGGGTGCAGCCTGCAGTCTAACTGGTCCTGTGTCCCTGCAGGTCCTCCTCGGCCTCCTGTCAGTACTCGGGTCAGCGGTCCGGCTGTAGTTGTCGGCAGAACCTTCATCTCCTTCAGCTTTAACTGCAGCTGGTTCAGTGACGCCAACGGAGCCATTCGGTTCTTCACTGTGGTGGTGACGGAGTCTGAAGGTGAGCAGCACCGGAACCTGCCCAGGGGGTTACTCTGTGGTTGACACACCTGAACCTGTCTCACCTGTATCCCTTGTCTCTGAAGGTGTGGAGAACCTGCAGCCGGATCAGCACCACCCGCTGCCCTCCTACCTGGACTACAGGTCCAACAGCTCCATCAGGACCTTCCAGACCAGCTACTTCCCGAGTCGCTGTGCTGACAACGGAGCCCACAGCTTTGACATCAGTGTGGGGATGGGGATGGACTCGCTGGGGGGCCCCTGTGACCACCTGGAGCCAGAGTCCAACACTGACCCGACCCACTTCTGTGATGGCCCACTGAAGCCCAGAACCTCCTACAGGTACTCCAGGTGGTGCACAGTCACAAAATCCCATGGGTCCCTGTTCTCCCCGTCCCAGTGCTCCCAGTTCACAGTGTGTGGTGTTTGTGTTCAGGCTCAGCGTCCGAGCGTTCACTCAGCTGTTTGATGAAGACACGAAGGACTCGAGGGACTCGTTGCCGCTCTACACGGACACCTTCCTGTCTCTGCCCGTCGTCACGGATGCAGGTGAGGATCAAACATCCTGAGAACAGGTAGAGGTACAGTGTGAGGTCAGAGCAGGTGTCGTTCAGGTGTAGTTCAGGTGTATGACAGGTGTAGACGGAGGTAGCAGTGACTGTGAACACGGTTCTTCTGCAGAGCCTCTGAGCGGTGTCATCGAAGGAATCAGCGCCGGTTTGTTTCTCATCCTCATGATCGTGGGAATCACTGCTCTGCTGGTCTGCAGGCACCGCGCCCGCAAAGTGTGAGTACACACACCTGCCAGGTACACACACCTGCTGACAGACACACACCTGTGTAACTCTGTTGTTGGTATTTGTCTGTCAGGGTGCAGCAGAGTCCGTCAGTCAGGATGAGTGTGAGGAGGGACAGAGTGACAGCAGGAGTCCAGCTGGGCGTCAGAGGGTAAGAAATCCATAATCAATACTGACACTGATAATCAATACTGTGACTGATGAAGGTTTCACACAGAGACAGGTGATAACCAAGTTCACTAACACGAAACAGCAAATCAGAGAAAAGTCCAGAGAACAGGGAGCATTTACTAACATCTCATGATCTTACAACGTTTGCAGATATTAATAATTACAATAAACAGAACTTTTGCTTTTGTATCGATTCTGAGTAAAACCAACCAACACCTTCATGAGCAGAGCAGACAGACACATGATGTTTGGTACCACTATGATCCATCCCATAATACTGATGCTACCAGCTGCTGACAGAGGACATGAACAGAACCAGGTCCAGTGTTCAGACTGAGACACCTGGATGGATGTACAACTGATCTGGTGTCAGGTTCTAGCAGAACATGTGTTCTTCCTCCTAAATGTCATGTGTCTATCTGCTGTACTGATGAAGTTCTGAGGCTCAGAAATGATGGAAAAAGTCCATTAAGGTGATCGATCTGGACCCTCCTCTGTGGACTTCAAGGACCTGGACCTCTGGAACATTCACAGTCTGAAGGTAGAACTCTGGTCAGTAGATAGAGGTTCTGCAGAATCAGAACCAGATGCTCTGAGGAGGTTCTGGGTGAAAACCTGGTTGGAATGACTCAGGTCGTACTTTGACAGCAAGCTTGTACGTGTGATGGAGTACTTGTACTCTGTTGTACTGCAGTCAGTCAGGTGAGACGGCAACAGATCAAAGTCTAACAGTTTCCTTCCTTCTGTCCGTCAGCGGCCGTCGGATCTCCAGGTGAGAACTTCTCCGTTCTGTGCTTGTCGTTCCACTCGCTGCTGCTCTGCTTCATCTTCTGTTTCCTCCTTTAGCCCCATAAACGTCCTCAACTACGAGAGTCACTACAGCAGCCTGCAGGCCGACTCCCACTTCCTGCTGTCAGAGGAGTACGAGGTAGGCGTGGCCTGGACCGCCGTGACACAACAACAACAACAACAACAACATAGTAACACAACAACAACACAGTAAAACAACAACACAGTAACACAACAACAACGACGACGACAAAACCACTACACAACAACATAGTAGCACAACAACAACACGGCTACACAACAAAAATAATAACAATGCTACACAACAAGACAGTAACACAACCGCTAGCTCTGTATGAATGCTCCACATGCAGCTGAACAGCTCGTTCTCTGGTTTCCTGCTCAGTGTCCAGAAACGTTTCTCTGTTTCTCTAAAAAACAATGTTTGCGTTCAACAAATAAAAAACTGAACGCAGCCGTTTGTCTGAGGAATAAACTTTTCCTTTACAGTCAAATATATATTTAATAACTTAAAGATGGAATCTTAACCCCTTAAGCCCGAGAGGCCCCCAATTGGAGGCCTCTCGGGTTTTACAGAAAGAAATAGTGTGAAACAA